TTACCATCACTGTACTAGTTTTAAAATATAATACGTGTCCATTAAACGATAGAAAATTGATTTCATATGCTCGAAATTTATGACGCGTTATGTGAGATGAAAAAACATCATATTCTTTATATTATTATTTGAGTTTGTTTTAAAATAATATTGCGTTTTTTATATTTCATTTACACGATTGATAAAACTATTAAAAAATCTGAGATATCGCGTCGTACAATTTTTTCTTTAATACATTAATTCTTACACGAAACATAGCACGTGAAAACATGTGTTGTTTGCAATATAAATTTTAACTTCTAAATCAAAATATTAGTTTTAATGCAACAAATTTGATACATGTGACAAAAGAAAACATAAGAATGAAAATAATTACATCTTCCTACAGTAAAGTAAAAATGAATTTTGATATGCATCTTTATCTGTAAATAAGAAGAAATAATCTAGAACTACCGAAAGAAAATATTTATAGTACGTTAAATATCGTTTAATAGTAAAATAAATAGTGCAATATTCGATAACGATGCAATCAGATCCGCGATAAAACCTATTCCTACATTGCAGATGGATATCCTGTGTGCGTATTTAAATATTGGAATATTTGGTTTCAATCAGACAAAATAAATTAAACACAATAAAGGCAAATTATATACTCGCAGAAGCAACTTTGCTTCTCTCTCGGTATACGGAGCTCGGATATATTGGTTGCGGAAAAAAGAACCGATACTGGAGAACCGGGATTCGGGAGAACAGAGCTTCTGCGATAGAACTTCTCGGCGAGTTCGCGCTCGATTAAGATCGCGTATCGCATTCTCCGATCGTCAAAGATCGAACTTTCAGCGACGCGCTTATTTCCGACCGTGCCCCTCGATCCGTTAATTCCATTCCGGCGCTCACGTCGATGGAAAAAAAAATCACCGAATCGAAGAACGACTTAGAAACTTCATTGCAAACTCAATCTTCAGGATTACCAATACTCGCGGTCTCATTCATATAAACTTGTCCGCTTGCCCTTCCTGCCGGAATGGCCTGCCGGTATGTACCTATCTTCAGCTTCTCCTCCCTATCTTTCTCTCTCTCTCTCTCTCTCTTTCTTTTTCGACCAGATTTTGCTAGGATAAATTATTTCCCGTCGAGGATTAACCCCCTCCCCCGACGTCAGGACGCCCTTACGTTACGCGGATTTCGTATGCGCGTTAACGTCTGGCTGGAATAAAACCACGATACCGGAGATTTTCTTGTCAGCCCGGACGGCGCACCAACGGTACGCGTAAAGGAACTGTAGAGAGGAAATGCCGGCATCTACTTCCGCCGTCCGATCGCGCATCTCGTGCGCTTTTCATTCTTTCTCGTTTTCTCTCCTCGGGTGGCTTATCGATCTGACCTTATTTATATGGCGCATGCCCGATCGCGCAAATATACGGAGCGTCGTTGGGACCGAATGAATTTTGCCTAAATCGCAAAATCGATAGCTCCTGAGGGCTTTTAGGACGTGAGCACTGGAAAATGTAACGAATTGGATAAATATCTTACGAGCGCTAGCATCATATCTCATTATAAGTCTTTTGATCAATTTTTTCTTCGAGATGAAAAAATTTTCCTCTAGTAAAAATTTTAATAGATATAAAACTTAGAGATATTAAATGGTATGAAAATTTTAATTATTTTTCTGCAGTTTTTTAATTAAATATATAACGATATAACATATATATATAAATATTTAATTTAATTTTTAAAAATTGAATTATTTTTATGAATTATTGTTAAATAAAGATCTAAAATTAATATAGAAAAAAAAAGATTTAAATTAGATCCTTAATTTTTACTTACAATACTAGTTAACGATCTACATATTTTAGAAGTAATATACCTTTCATTTATGTCTTTGATTATTACAAAATATATTATGAGAGAACTAAGGATAATTACTCTAACAATTTATGAACAAACAAATTCAATAAAATAAATACAGGAATATATAATCCCATATTTACTTTAGATCGTTAGTTGAAATTGGTATAATGAAAAATTCAATATTAGAATCTGAAGGTGATCGATATTTAGATACCAAAAATATTTATAGATTCGCAAACCTATTAGCAATGTATTTTAAATCTTATGGTCGCACTATCGTTTTTGGGAGAAAACGAAGGGGCTGTTCTCAGTTCTGTTTCAGTTATAGAAAAATGGGGGATTTCGCTAGCATGTATCCAGGCCAGCCAGCCTGGGAACCGACTTTACGCTGGGCAGGAACTTTCAATAAGATTCGCGGGGCCCCGAAACGCTGCTTCCTGGAACCTGCTTCCCTGCTTCACGTATGTGGAAGTGAATCCAAACTGTGCCGTCTCAGCGTGCTCGTTCGCATAGAAACTTACACGATCGTCGAATCGAATTCCGAATTCTTTATCCCGCTCGCCGTAGCCGTCGTCTGCGTCGTCGGTCGCCACCGAGATCCGCCCTCAACTTCGCAATCTGTAACCTCTACTTTCCCTCCCTTATGCCGCGAGTCACGCTTCGCCTAACCATCGCGCAGATTTATGAGTAGCTTTCTCTCGATATGCATATATAGAGATTCATACTTCGTTCGTACGAAGAAAATTTCAACAATATTTATTTTCAATCCAAATCATTTGTTTTCTTTTATCTCTTTAAAATTCACCTTTGATTTTACTGCATCTTATAATTAGATATAGAGCGATTATCTAAAAAAATTTATTTGTATCTATTGTGTATTTTCCCTCATTTTTATCTAAGAATAGGAGAATAATGTTGTCGTAATAGCTAACATAAATTGTATAATAATTCTCTTACAATAAGAATAAATAAAATAAAATTTAGACGAAGCAAAAAGAACAATTTTAAGAATGAATAAAAAAATTTTAATAAGCTGTTAAAAAAGATTAGAGTTATTACAAAAATTCTATCGACATCTATGGTTCAATCTTTTCATATTTTATTTTAAACTCAATGTTTCTGAAATGTTTTTATATACATTGTGTTATATTACAATATATATATATATATATATATATATATATATATATATTTATATACATTATGTTTATAACAAAGTATTAGATTTTATTTTAATTCTATTTTTGCGTTTTTATTTTATAAAGTAAAATATTATCGAGAAATAATGCACTATTTAAAAATATTAATATCAAAACGCGTAAAGTTCGTAAAATTATATTCATGTGTGAGAAATGATTTAAATTTATGATTTAAATTTTCGAAAAATGAAATAAAAATATAAAACTTTATACTTGTTATAATTTTTAGATATTAAATATATATATAAAATATGTATATAAAAATATATGTACATTATATGTATGTAAATAATATATCATAGAAAAAATAATAAAAATTAAGAGTCAGCGCGATAAATGGGACGTAATACATTATTAATAATCAAAAAATGTCAAAAATATAATATCGTATGTTTCGATCCATTTTTGGATCATTTTTGATGGATATAAGAAAAAAAATTTATTTATTCTTATTGTAAGAGAATTATTATACAATTTATGTTAGTTATTAAGACAACACATGTAATGAAATTATTATTATCATAAATGACAGAGAATATACATAATACATACATAGTGTTTTTAGTGTAATAAGGAATTTTTTTTTCAAGTATATGCTAAAACAGCCGATAATCAAATATAAGACTGAAATTATTATAATGACATTAAAAGTGAAAGAACAGAAAGAAAGTGTAAAGTAAAATCTTAAAAACTTATCACACATACATATATATGTATACACGGATCACAAATGTAAATTAAATACGGATATGAATTTAAATGAAGAATTAGAAAATCTCATAAACTTTCTTTGATAGTCATTTAAAAACTAACTTGGTTTAAAAATATTCTTTTTCGTTGTAATATTACTTTTCGTTGTTTATATAAGTTAATAGAGTTCATGACTTTCTGTTTCGATACAATATTCTTTTCTAAGTCCTTTATTGCTTTTTACTTTCTAGCCTCTTTTATATTTGAACTTGGTAAACTTTGACCTCCTTTTTAAGTCAATTATAATCATAGAAAGATAAACACGACAAAATTACTAGAGAAAAAAATTGCATAATATTCGAAAATTGGTTCGCTTACATAACATAGAATCGAATGTTATTTCAGTTGCATTTTCTTGACAAAACTGTTTCGTAAAATATGTACATATTTATTTTAACAATCTATTTTTTGCCATATGCAATTCGTATTTTTATTGTAAGATTTTTTTACATGAAGTTTTTTTTTGAAAAAATTAATATTTCGAGATTAATGTTGGATCTCTCAATTTAGCGTTATCGATAATAGTGTTATTATTTATATAGCTTTAAAAATAAAAACAATCAGCAGTTGGATTTAATTTGTTTGCAATCGTTAATTTGTTTCAGAGATCAATGCAGATATAATGTTATCATAACAATACTGACATGTACGATATTTACAAACATATTTTAATCCATCTCGCTTTTAAGCGCTAATTAGCTGTTGTGTATAGGCTGTTCCATTATTTAATTATAAAACATGATTATAACATGATTATATCTTACATTCACTATTGCGTGCAACATTCGATTTTGTCACTTAAAAGTCTATAAAGATATTTGCGCGCATGTTTAGATTTACATTTATAATTTGTTTTGTTAATTGTGGCTAATGGATATTATGGAAATTTTTGTGCTCTTTGCAATTCAATTACGGCACAGAAGCTACACAAAATAATTTTGTAATGAATTTGCCTCTCATAATTTCAAGTGAATATATGTTTCGCGTGTGTTTCGTGACCGAGTCACGTATTCGATCGATCGTACCCAGAGGTAGAATCGCAAAGCGTCGTTCAAGTATTTTCTTAACTATATTAGATATCGTAAAAATCCAATACGTTGATACTAAAAATGTTATTTATCCGTATAAATATATTCATATCTCGTTTCATTCATAATTAACAATATATTCATTTACGATTATATCTTTTTGTTTCAGATGCTTTCTATAAAGGGAATAGCACTATTTGTGGTACGCAACCGATTATAATAGCTTGGTAACATTAATCATCCTCGTGTTTCTTCATCTCGGGTAAATATATTTTATACATGTATATATATTTACAACACACACACACACACACACACACACACACACACAAAATACTCTCTGAAATTAAATTAACTTCCGAGCTGAAGCTTGCCTGCATTATATTTCTGTGCGAAGGAATACTTGCGACACATATTTTTGATTAAAATTTCTTAATTATTAATGCGATGTATGCGTATTATATAATGACGAGGCGTGTAATTATACGCGACTGACGACTGACATTAAACGCGGTAACACATGAAAATTGCGAAGTGCCAACAGAAATGAAAGCTAATATCATCGATCCGTTACCTAGAAATTTACCTTATGGCTCGTTATCGGTTATTATCGTATGGAGCAAGTACTCGACGCATGATAAATCAATGAGTCGTTCGCGATAAGACTCAGGGTATCGGTTGCACCATATATTTGATTCAGCACTCTTATCGCTATTCCACTACGGATATTGGACGGTTAGATGCTGGTCTTGCGCCGTGTTCGAAATGTTCGCGTTATATGATATATGGATGATAAGATGAGATACATTTTCGATACAAGTCAAACGGGTTAAATCACTACGGCCAAGCATACGTTTAAAGCTATTCCACGTATCGAGAAATTTCTCTCTGTATTTTAATCAATAATAAATAAAAATTGTAAGCTATACACAACTGTGTACGCTAATATAATATATAAGTTTTTATTGGTACGAACTAAAGATTTATCTGTACGCGCGAATATTTGGCTGCGCTTCGATATATCAAATTTAACCGGATTTTGTTCTCGAGATGACATCTCGTCGAATGCATGCGGTACTGTGAAAAACGCACGCACGTCGGATTCTCACGCTTATTTTCAGTTTTGCGTCCTCCAGAGCGCCGTTCGAAAGAATGCATATTGCGACTGTTGCATTCGTAACAATGCGCGCCTGAACGGATTTGAATCGCGCTCGTGTTTGATGCATTCAAAACGGATCGATTGATCGCGCGCTAGCGAAAGTACCGATTGTTTCGAGTAGAAATTCCTCTGGCAATTCTGTGGGATATCCGTCTTGGTTTATTAATGTAATGAGATATTTATGCATTTAGCGTTCACCTCTTTGACATGGGCGGCGATTATATTAATCCGTTGTTATTTTTGTATATTTAATTACATTTGACAAATTCTGAGAAAATTCAATTTATTTGATTTGGCTGCTAAAAATTACTTTTAAGATTTCTTTCTTTATAACAGCGGATTTATAATTTGTTTTCCAATAATTCGTTATTGAGATTAAATTGGATAGGGCAAAGACAATTATCGCAAAGATATTAACGGTATCATACAAATTCACGATAAATATCAAATTCACGATAAATATCAATGTCAATTAGACATTTTCGTTAAACATAAAAGACGTTAATTATATCACAGTCTCCGTTTATTTAAACTTAGAACTTGAACTTCACGAGAATATAATGACGAATGTTTATTTTATACGCGTGTCATATTTTTTATTTATTTATTTTGCACGTGCGACAGATATTATCACTGATGCGCATGAATGAATACACATATATCTTGAAATATATGTTTAACTATTTATCCTTTTTTATTCCTTGCGATACAAAAATCCGCGCGGATTTCACGGGCCTTGTAGGAGCTGTCACACGGCAAATTGTTTAAAATTCCGCGTCCGGTTGGCCGTTTACTGAATTCAAAAGGCTGCCGGTATAAATTGTCCGGGCGCGTGTACAAGCGCGACCGGTTGTCGGTCGCGTATGTCCAGAAAATATCACCACTCCGGAATATTTTGGGATTGTTGTATACCCTCGCACGCGCGCGAGACGAGACGAGGGAGACCGATGGAACGAGTCCCCGGGCTCGCCCGTCCTCCCGGATGCCGTCGACGCGCCCGGTGCAGCAATTCGCCACCCCCGAAGCTCGCTGTCTGAATTTTATCGGCACAGCCGCGCCCGGATGTTCTCGCGTTGTGCCCTCGCTCGGAAGACAGTCTCGGCATCGTGTCTCGCGTATGTAATGCAATTTGCGAACCAAATTCACATCTCAAACTATCCCGCTGGATAGATAAAGGGCGGCTTTACATTGCATCTGCATGCTTAAAGTCTGCCTGAGTAATTAATTTGCACGAGATACCCCGACGCATGTCCATCCGACGAGGATCGTCTCGTCGAATCGACCGTTGCTGGTTAAAATATTGTTTATATTTAATTCTTGATACTTGTCGTTATTTTTAGCAATAACATTCGCGCGCGATTCGTAATTTATTTGACGATTTGCCGCAGGTTAGCATGAATGCTCGCTCTAATGGAATTTATATTGCGTCGTAGAATTATTTAGAAGAGAATTTAAAAGGATTTAGCGTCATTTTGAAAAGCATTCAGCCAGTATTCTATATTCTAACTTTGATGTTAGCTGGTTGGTTGCTTTCTCAGATATCTCCTTAAGGATGTTTTGTACCTATTTTCAAAATATTGAGACTTTAATGAAAATTGTACAGAATGTCCTTTTACATATGTTTAGAATCTTTAGTACAATTTTTAAATCGATTCACTGAAGCGTTCACAAGTTATAAGGATTTTAATTTACACCGAATTAACATGTGTTCTTATGGGAAACGTATAACCACGATTCAAAAAACAAAAACACATAGAAATAATATTCAGAATTTGTTTAAAATTTGCAAAAATTTAGATACAGAGGAAATATTTGGTCAAATAATATTATACAAGTACTAACTGGTTAAAAAGATAAATATAATTTAATGAAATTAGCCATGTATCTGTCACAAGACGAAACATCTCTGCCAAAAGTTGATCGATTTGCATTTCGATTAACAAAATTCGAAATATTTCAGTAAAAACGCAATAAATATTAAAAAATACATCTCTGCACTGTAGCTAAGATCAAATTGTAATATTCTACACAATTTCTCGTGTTCAAAATACACCAAAAGTGGATATTCGTCAATATTGATTTTCAGCTACTTTTTGCTGGGATTGTACATACAAAACATCCTTAAATTCTTTTCCTGATACTCTCCTCTAATTCTTTATTACGATGCGACTACTCCTAACAAACTCGTCCTATGTTAAGAAATTAAATGCAAAATTCGAGAGAGGAGGAGGAAAAGGGAGTTAAGGAGAGAGAGAGAAAGAGAATTACACGTCGGTACAACAAATTTGATTAATGTAAGTGTAACCTAGTAATGCTACATTATACGTGTTCTCTGATGGTTACGTATCATGTATGCGATGTAATGCCGCGGTATAATAATCTAAGGTAATATAACTAGCGCGCAAGCATCGACATGTGTTACATTATCGTGAGAAATTTATAAAATTAATCGGAGGCAATTTTGCGAGGGTAAAACGATTTTAGTCAATTTCTAATATTTACTATTTCATAAATGGATAGCTGTTTGTCATTTTTAATTTCTCGCGATAAATTGTACAAATACAAACACTTATTGGATGCTCTAGAGAAATGTGCGAAAAGTTTACTTTCAATATCTAAACGAGAAAAATTCATTCCAAGTGAAAACAAAGCGCGAGAGGAAACTTGAACAAGCCTGCGGAAAAACAGATATCGATTACGGCTACGCCGAGTTCTCGATGCCGATTCTGGAAAAAGAGTCGTCGGGATGACACGACGCGTTCCCCCGGAGGATCCGGCTGCAACAAATCGCCTAATCAGGTGGATATATGACGGATGGAGAGGTGAAATTGGTTCCTGGCCGCGAGTAAATCTTGCGTGTGTCAAGGCGGGAAAAGGGTTCCGGAGAAGAGAAGCTGGGGAAAATGGACGACGCGAGATCGATTTCCTACGGGATTTATGCCACTATTTTTTATCCGAAGACGCCGCGTACTGCGTCACAGCACCAGGAGGGATGCTTTTTCCGGCGTGTGCCGTTTCTCAGGAGACGCGCATTTCATTTCGCTATATTTTTCTCGGACGCTTGGAGCGATATTAATACGATAAAAATGCGTCGCGTCCCGAAAGTTTTAATTAATTCGTCCTCGATGTGATACTTGGAATTCGGTCATGCGTATGCACAACTTTGCGAAACTTTGCGAAGCCTCGGTCCGCAACGGATTTTCCTCGGCGCGAATTAAAAAATAGTTCATCGAGTTGACGGTGCTCGCGAGAGTCGGTCGCCGAGCCTTTGTGCGCGACCCCGCTTTAATGAGACACTGTATTCCCAACGTTACCGCGCGCACGCGGACGAAGGTTGATGCAGTTAACCTTCGTGCATAAGATCACGCGAGTTTTTAATGTAATTCTCGTGCCACGCGCAAGTTTTCCCATTGAAGTTACGGTGGTTTTTGCCGCGCAAGACTTGGAGGCACGCATTAGAGAATCTTGCTTTCCCCATTTTATCGTCGACAATTTTATTATAGCATTAGAGGAAGTCTCGAGCCTTTGTATCTTCATTTACGCACATTTGCTCTCTCTAAATCCAGCTTTGGATTTTTACAAAATTTAATTATCGAGTAACATCGAAAAACTCTTATGATGAGAAAGAGGAACTGACGTTAATTATTAGAAAAATAAATGAAAAATCAGCTTTTTTTATCTCGCGATTTACAATTACTTACACAGAAAAAAAGGACATTCTTCTTTTGAAAATATATTTAGTTTTAACGTGAAAATCTTGAAATGAGATTATATTGCGTTAATTTAAGAAAAATATAATTGCTTGAATAATTGCTTACTTGAATGAAGCCATTTTATATAGTTCAATGAAGAAAAATATAGTTTTATGATTTAAGATTTAATTTTCTTGAATGAAAAAGAAACAATGTTAAATAGAAGATAACATTTTTAAATCAAAGATTATAATTTTCTTAAAGTAGAATTAAATAATTCTACATTCTTGAGGTGACAATTACAATATTAAAATAAGACTATAATATTGTTAAAATTTAAAATTATTTAAAATTATTTAAAATTATTTAAAATTATATTAAATTCATCTAAGAAGATTATAAATTGTTGCG